ATTATTCTTATACACTCTACCAAACGACCCCTTAATATGCTCATAGTGTTAAGGACTGAAAATAAACATGTGTAATGCGAAAGCTAGCAAGCAAACCTCGAATGATAATGAGTTAGAAGACGAACGAGAAAAATATCAAAAGATACAAAGATTTAATGTAAATCGGTCAATCGATCTACATCCACAAAGGGGATGAGAAATTTACTATATAAATATGAGAGTACAAAATATAGAGAGAAATAACATCAACCAATTCACTCGGAATACAAGGGGGTACACAAAATTCTCCTCCATAACCGCAACTCTCAAAATCCTAAGACTACATTGTGAATGATGATTAAGTTAGAAGAAACACACTTATATTTATAGAGTCTTAAAACCTTTCCTACAAGAAAACGACTAGTCAAAATATTAAAACATTTTCCAAAAAATTATAGTAAGAAATCAGAGTAAATAAAACCCAACAAATCTTCTCCTTGGCCTGAATTTCTGACAAAATAAATTTGTCCACCTTTTTCACATAATCTTTAGGATCTTGCATCTCTTCTCCATAATATCCTCCATCAAATCTACGTCTAGATACAGAGAGGATGTAATCTACGTCTCGACACAGAGAACCTCTCTGAAATAATTTCTCCAACAAAAATCTTCATTACTGTCAGAAAGACTGCGGCTAGAGCTACACCCGCCAAGATGAACACCCAATTTTAACCTGGTTCCATCACAAACCATTGCACCTGACTCTGATACCACTTGTTAGGATCGAAAATAAGTTAGGTGTAATGCGGAAGCTAGCAAAGCAAACCTCGAAAGACAATGAGTTGGAAGACAAACGAGAAATATATCAAAAGACACAAATAGTTAACGGGATTCGGTCAATCGACCTCCGTCCACAAAGGAGATGCGAAATTCACTATAAATATGAGAGTACAAAATATAGAGAGAAATAACTTCAACCAATTCACTCGGAATACAAGGAGGTACACAAAATTCTCCCCCATAACCGCAACTTTCAAAACCCTAGGACTACATTGTGAATGTTGATTAAGTTAGAAGAAACAAGCTTATATTAAAAGAGTCCTAAGACCTCTCCTACAAGAAAACGACTAGTCAAAATATTAAAACATTTTCCTAAAAGGAAAAATCTATTTATGGTAAGAAATCAGAGCAAATAAAACCCAACAAATCTTCCCCTTGGCCTGAATTTCTGACAAAATAAACCACCTTCTTCACATAATCTTTAGGATCTTGCATCTCTTCTCCATAATCTCCTCCATACGTCTCGACACAGAGAACCTCTCTGAAACAATTTCTTCAACAAAAATCTTCATTACTGTAAAAAAGGTTGCGGCTAGAGCTACACCCGCCAAGATGAACACCCAATTTTTAACATGGTTTCATCAACAAACCATTGCACCGGACTCTGATACCACTTGATACGATCGAAAATAAGTCAGCTGTAATTCGAAAGCTAGCAAAGTTGTAACACCCCTAAATTCTAACCAAGAGTCGCTTGTCGATACACTATGTTTTACTCTCATTTTGGGAACTTGAAATATTGTGATATTTGCAAACTTGCTTAATATAAATTGTGATCGTAATTTAAGGTATTGTATTGGGGTAGTTTCATAATATTCTAATTAGAATTATGTACAACTTTAAAAGGAGGTGAGGGATATACATAAAGGTGTATATGTATGCATTTTAGGCAGCACACAATTTTTGTTGGGCAGCACCTTTGAAGGATAGCTGCCCAAGTGATAAATATATTTTCACACCTCCTTTAGTAAATTCGTTTTCCTCGAGTCTTAGAACCTTAGAAACATATCTAAACATATTGTTCTTCAAAATCACAAGAGAAAAACTTGGCCCTTTAGGCTGGAATTCGAGACACACACTTCTTTTGGTAAGTGACGAAATCTGCTTTTGAGCTGGGTAGTGTTGGTATTTTATGCATATCTCATTCAAACGAACTTATTTTACAGTGAATAAATATGTTTTGGAAAGATAATTCGTAGACCTACAACTCTTATGTTTATGTAAAATTCTGATTTAGCTATTATGGATTCGAAATATGGGACGCAACATAGGACAAGTTCTGTCTAGATTTCGAAATTAGAAATCCTGTATGGACAGCTGTTAGTGTTTTGAATGTATCTTTTTATAAAAAATACATTTTCCGGTGATTCTTGTTTGTTTGCAACCCTAAGAGATGTATGAACCTTGATTCACACTTTTCTTAGCTAGCTATGTTAGGCAGTCTGTGACAAAGTACGTGACACTGTTAGCTCTTTAATCTCTATTACTTCAGCAATAACCAGCAGGAGCTAACAATGAGACCTGTGTTGAAAGAGGATTTTACCAGTTCAAGTTAGTCAATTTGATCTAGTACTTGCGTCTTGGTGCAGTGGGGAGAGCATAGATAGCTTCTTTTTTCTTGATATGCTGATTTGCAAAATAAGAAGAAGATGAATGTCATACCTGGAGTGATTGAGAACATCGTGGGAGGGAAAGAAATGCGTAGGATAAAAAAGGAAATCCGTGCTAACTGTTACTAGGAGGGGACTTAAACAATTCTATCTATTAAATTCCATTCTTCTTTTGAAATATTACCTTTTGAATATTCATTCTGAAAAATGTACAAAGATCTAAGCAATTAAATAGTCATATTCTTCTCCTGTTTCAATTATGTTAGAATTCTCAATTTTGAGGTGACTGGATTGTTACTTCAAAAAAACTGCAGGCTGAGACGGATAAAGGGAAGGGAATCGGTGTTGTGCTATTTCATATTGAAGCCAACCTAGAGAGCTTGGTATGTCTTCTGAACATGCTTCAGTAATCTCTCTCTTTATGTGCTATTTTATGAATTCTCAGCTCCCGCAGGTTGGTGCAAGTTCGAGGATTGACATGATCCTGGGTGTTTTGGGATGGTCCACGGGCTGCAGTTGGTCAGAGAACAAACAGTTTCTAGAATGCTAATTTAGTGGCCTGGTGAAGAGTACTTGCCCAGCTGTTGAAAGCTTGGGGAAGAAAGTTTTGTTCAGTGAAACCTGAGTTCTTTTTATCTTCTAGTTGTCAATTCTTTTTCTCCTCCCACCATCTTGACAAGTATAGAAGCAAGCAATATTAGGTAATATGGTGTCGGGCGACTGTATATAAAGGAAGAGTAGCAAACCAGTTATACTTGTAAAGGAATTTTCAATTATACGAACTCCAACAAAAGTATGTTAGACAGTTATACAAAATAAATATATTAAATATCTTCCATCTTATCCTTTTTTATCACATCTATTTCTAAACCAATGTCACCGTGCTCCTTTGCCTTCTGCGTCCCACCACCACCACTAACTCCCAACAGAAATTGTTGAGAGTGCAGACATTGCAGTTGGCTATATATGCTAAGTTTGCTTCAGTAGTCACAACGATACTGTGAGTACAGTATACAAATTGGATCTATTTTTGCCTTCATTTAACAACTAATATAGGCTTAAAAATTATACTTATCCAACAAAATCAGTTACGTTAAGCATGCGTTTAAAGCACAAGAGCAAGTCAAAGAAAAAGATATAAGCTGATGAGTCTGTTACATCAGACTTCCTATGGCTTTGATATCTTGCATGGTCTAGCTCTATGCTGATCTCCTTGGAGAAATCTTGCTCTCCATATTGCCAAACTTCATTCCATTCCGCTTTCTTTTACATGTATCCTTTTTCTCTACTCAAAGGCAACTCTGTTGAAATTTTTCGTGGGCGTCCGTGATGAATGGTGTGCATTGGTTTGGAGGGGCAAATATAAATATTTTAAAGTTCAAACGAGGTCCAAACCGATAAGTAGAATTTTTTTTTATTTTTCGTGTGTTATAGTAAATGAATTTTGTCTGATATGTGCGTCAAATGGTTTTTTGACCGAAAATTTTTGTGGGGGTCCAAGGAGATATACTTAATTGTGTGTGTTGGTTTAGAGGTACAAACGTAGGTCTTTTCCAATTCAAATGAGTCCCAAAATAGGAAATAGGGATATTTCTTTGTTTTATGTGTTATAGTCCATAGATTTTGTGTGATATGTACACCTGACAATTTTTTGGCTGAAATTTATTGTGGGCATCCGTGACGACCTACTTAATGGAGCGCGTTGGTTTGGAGGGGCAAACATAGGTATTTTTAACTTCAAACGAGGCCCAGATTGGGAAATAGGATTTTTGCCATTTTTCATGTGTTATAATCCATTAATTTTGTGTATGTGCGTTCAACGATTTTTTGGCTCAAATTTTTCATGGGCATCCCTGACGACTTTCTTAATGACGCGTGTTGGTTCGGAAAGGCAAACATAGGTTTTTCCAATTCAAATGAGTCCCAAAATAGGAAATAAGAATTTTTCCATTTTTCATGTGTTATAGTCCATGAATTTTGTGTGATGTTTGCGCCCAATGTCTTTTTAGCTGAAATTTTATTGTGGGGTTAGTGATGACCTACTTAATGGCGCGCGTTGGTTTGAAAGGGAAACATTAATTTTATCAAGTTCAAACAAGGCCCGAATCGAGAAATAGAGATTTCAACTTCGTGCGTAATACTCCATGGATTTTGTGTGATATGTGCGTCCGATGATTTTATTGCCGAAATTTTCCATGGGGGTCTTGACGACCTATTAAATGATGTGTTTTGGTTTAGATGGGCAAATGTAGACTTTTTCAAGTTCAAACAAGTCCCAGAACAGGAAATTGAGACTTTCTCCAATTTTTCATGTGTTATATAGTCCATGAATTTTGTATGATATGTGAACCCGACTGTGTTTTGATAAAAAAAATTTGTGGGCGTCTCTAACAACCTACCTAATGGCGCATGTTGTTCGGAGGGGCAAATGTAGGTTTTTTTGAGTTCAAACGAGGCACAGAACATGAAATAGGGATTTATTTTCATTTTTTTCATGTGTAAGTCCATGGATATTATGTGATATGTGTGCCCAACGATATTTTGACTAAAATTTTAAGTGGGCGTTAGTAGGGGTGGGCATAAATACCGGAGAATCGAAAAACCAAACCGAACCGAACTAATTCGGTTTTTTGGTTTTTCGGTTTGGTGTCAGTGTTATTTTTTCAGAAGTTCGGTTCTTCGATTCAGTGTTCGGTGTAAGGGTCTCAAAACTTCAGTGCACCGAAAAATTGAACTTTTATTTTTAAAAAATTAAAAATTAAAAATAAAATAATATATATATAATTATATATATATATGGGCATTCTCTTAACTAAAAATTGAAAATTCAATCAACAATTAAATCATTCATGAACAAATCAAAATAACACCAAATGTACAATTTAATATTAACTTGAAATATTAATTTCCAAGAGAAACTCAAACATATTTCTACCAATGTACATTATGTAAAGGAACCATCTTCATACTTGTTTTTCTCGATAAATTGTTGGAGGCACAATGTTCTTGATAAAGACAAATATAGTCATTTAGTTAGCACAATAAGTGTTCCACAGTAATAGGCATCATTCCTTAACATAGTTTTAAATTTCTAAGTATCTTATACTTTATCCTTTATTTTTCATTCACACCGAAAAACCGATTTAAAAACACCGAACTAAACCGAACCTAAGTAGAAAAAATCAAACCGAACCAAATTAGTTTGGTTTAATATACGGTGCACACTTTTCTAAAAACCGAAAACCGAAAAATCGAATCGAAGTTTGATAAAACCAAACTGAACGTCCACCCCTAGGCGTTAGTGACGACCTATTTAATGGTGTAGGTAATTCGAAGGGGAAGAATGTAGGTTTTTTGAGTTTAAATGAGGCACGAACATGAAATACGAATTTTTCCATTTTCATGTGTTTTAGTCCATGAATTTTGTGTGATAAGTACAACTGTTGATTTTTTTGCCAAAATTTCTCTTGGACATCCATGACAACCTATTAAATGGCACGCGTTGATTTAGAGGGGCAAACATATGTTTTTTCAAGTTCAAATGAGGCTCCGAACGACAAATAGGGAATTTTCCATTTTTCGTGTATTATAGCTATAAATTTTGTGTGATATGTGCGCCTGACGATTTTTTGATCGAAAATTCTTGTGGGTGTGATGACCTACTTAATGACCGTGTTGGTTCGAAGGGGCAAACGTGAATTTTTTCAAGTTCAAACGAGGCCCGGAATGAGAAGTAGAGATTTTTCGGCCAAAAAATTATTGGACGCTCATATCACACAATTTTGAGTTCAAACAAGGCCTGAACGGAAAATAAAAATTTTCCCAAAGGGGCAAACGTAGGCCCACCCCTCCCCGCACCCGCTCAATTGTCATCCCTATGCACTGGGGTCACTAAACAAAAAGCATACTTCTCTCAGCTTTTCGGGTGTCTCAGTTCTGAAATTTTTCATATTGTGGCTTACCGATCCGATTTTGACCCCAAATTTTGTTCATGACAATTTAGTGAATGACAGTTATTACTTCTACAAGAACAACATCACTTTTTTAGAATTTCAGGTCATAAAATTAAATTCAAAATTTCGTGTGTTTCCACCTCTGTTTTTTCAACCCATTGTGTCAACTGATGGACGTGTTGGAGGAAGACCGGGCTGGAAAACTACACCTATGTTTGGTCTCTACAGCCACGCTACAAGGATTGGGGGCTTTCAAGCTCATCAACAGTACTCATCTCAGCAGGTGGCCTTCGACACTAATATCACCACTACTAGTTTAGTAGACTTTTAGCATCTAGTGTATGTATCATTATTTGTAACTCAATGGTGTCCCAGTTACATCCCTGGTAGTTTCTTTCGTTATAATATATAATATTTTTCATTACCATAAAAACAAATGATGTCTATATAAACTGACAAAATTAATAAAAACTCAAAAAACAGATAGCGCACCTTAACTTGGAAATTGGGTGTCCAGATTTCTCATTTGGACAATCTATATAGTGATGGTCAAGTCAACCTCTTCTTGATTCGATAACGGTTCTCGGGTTTAGCTGCCGCACCCCCACTTTGCACGGCTCTTTTGGATACTATGACTTTACTACTGTCGGGTAACAATAGCCGATGCAGCTTACATAGAAAACGGACACCAAGTCTGTACCTTGACATAGCATACTACATATTCGTCATTCAATCCATAAAAATAAATTTTGATACACAAATTGATACGAGGAAAAACCACAAAAGGAAAAGAAGAAGAAAAAGCAAGAATAACCAAACCCAGTTTTACAGTAACCCGCTAAAGTACTCCCATACTATTAACATGACATGCAATAGACTGAACAAACCAGACAAAGAGGGGGAGAAATGAAGAAATGATCTTTATCCAGGTGAAAAGAAATACAAGAGTGATCAAAGTAAATTGAATATAAAATGAGTAAATGAAACTACAGCCCCTATGACTCAGGAGCAGGTGCCTTCAACAGTGGTTGAAGAGCTTTGACAACAATACTCATATTAGGACGGAACTCAGCCTCATATTGTACGCACAGTGCTGCAACAGCTGCCAACTGAATTAAGCAAACAAGAAAAAAATAAATTACCAATAGACTTGTTGATACTTTTATGATCTTTCGGGTGTTTTTTTTTTTTTTTGTGGGTGGGTGCGGTTGTTAAATACCTCTTATTTACTGAAGGTACAGGAAAGTTTTTACCATTAAAAAAAATTAATGTCAGAGAGGGGAAGGGCAGAAACCTTAGCAACTCCTTTTCCAGGAACTTCTTTCATCTTTGGATCGATGCATTGCTTGACCTTATCTTCACTTAATCTCGGAGTAGCCTACGCTTTACAAAGATATAATTAAGCATAGAAAATAATCATTACCAAAACAAACGAAGGAAGGGTCACAAAATGAGAAGAAACACAAGAAATAAATAAGTCATTTCGCGCATAATGCAATGCTCACCCAAGTAACCAAGCTCTGTTGTCCACGAGGCATTGTATGATCTACAGGTTTTCTTCCTGTCAAAAGTTCAAGAAGAACCACCCCAAAGCTATACACATCACTCTTTTGTGTCAATTGTCCTGTCATTGCATATCTGTAAACATTTTTTAGAGAGTTGGGTTGAGATAAAGCTCCTCAAAACAACACAGTCTGAAGAATTTTGCCACTAATAAACAGCAGAAACAATGTAACATAGACTTGATTAAAATAGGATATGACACAAAGCGCAACAAATTAAAATCTCATATCAGTCATTAGGCTTTGTACCAAACCTTTAGATACCTTAGTAAACAACTATTGTTATGACGCAAACCTCCTAAAAACTTCAAAATTCAGGTAATTTCATAGAACAGAAC